CTTACCATAATTGTGTAGACATGGTGTCACGGTTATTAAGCCCTTGCACTCATTTGCAAAACACATCATTGGAAAGCCCAGATTTAATACTCTTCATCCCTGGGTCCTATGTTATTAATGCAGAAGGGAAATATCAAGCACTACATGCTGTAGCAACACTCAACCAGCAGAACAAGGCCTCACTTTAGCTTGTTAACTTTAGCTTGTTAGCTATCCAATGGAAAATCAGTACACATTTATACTGACAGCAGATATGACGTTGGTATGTTTAAGAAACAGAAAGGGTTCCTTACTTCTAGTGAAAACCCAATAAAAAATGGGCCCCAAGTAAATGAACTGCTCTGTCATTGTACTGCCTAGCTGAACTGCAATTATTAAAACTGAAGCTCATACTAGAAAAACAGAACCTGAGTTCTGATTTTCTGAACCTGAATCAGATGCTACACTAGCTAGAACTAAATTGTTCCAATACGCGACTTGAATAAACTCCGCAGGACTGACTCTAACTAAATTATTTATAATAATTTATATAAAAGACAAAATCAGGCCCTGGCTAGTATGGCTCAGTTGGTTGGAGCATTGTCCCATAAACCCAAAAGTCATGGGTTCGATTCCCAATCAGGGCACATGCTTAAGTTGTACACTGGGTCCCAGTCAGGGCAGGTACGACAGGCAACCAGTTGATGTTTCTCACATCTATGTTTCTCTCCCTCCCTTGCCCTTGCTCTAAAATCAATAAGCATGTCCTTGGGTAAGGATTAAAAACCATAATAAATAAAAAACACACACACACAAAATCAGGCACCCAAGCTAGAGTAACAATGTTGAGACCAACAAGGGTGTAAATTTAATATTAAACGAGTACTCGCTGAGGACCCAGACAGGCACCTGGTTCTTCCTGTGGCCTTAAAAATGCCATTACTAAAAGCACTACATTCAGCAACCCACCATGGCACTGATAAAATGACCCAAAGTATGAAAAAGTATGGGTGGGATGACTGATCCAAGGTTGAAAATTTGGTTTAAGACCAATGTTTGGTTTTTCAAGACCATAACCCTGGGAAGGCCATTCCCACTGGTGGGAAGTCCATCCTGAGTAGGAACTCAGGCCATTTGAACACTTACGAATGGATTTCATTCAACTGCCTCCCACAATGGGTTACCAGTATGTTCTTGTAACTAATTGTCTGTATGTTCTCAGGATGGATTAAAGCCTTTCCATACAGAAGGCTGACGTCACAACTGTGGCTAAGAAACTTTTAGAAAATATTTCCTTTATGGAGTATCCCCAAAGAAATCTCCAGTAACAGAGGAACTCATTTCACTGGATGATTACCAGTATCTATTATGAAATTAAATACAGCATTGCTGATACAATGGTATTACCATCGTCTTTACTGTCCTTAGTCACCTAAGGAGTCCAATGGACAAATGGTAACTAAATTAACAGAATCCACTGGACTGCTCTGGCCAAAAGTTCTACCATTGGTTTAGACAGCAATTAGACCAATATCTATCTATACAAAAGCATAAATTAACACTTTATGAAATAGTAACAAGACCTATGCCTTTATGATAAAAACCATGTGTTCTTGTACTCTAAATTCTGATATGACTAAATACTATAAAGCTTTAACGCATTATACCAAAGTATCTTTCCACCAGGTAAAGGAAGCTTTCTGCAAACCTTCTACAGATGGTCAAACCCTCCACAACTCAGATGGTAGGTATCCTGGAACTGACGCCTCAGAAAGACTGTCTTCTAGCCTGGTTAAAAAAGACCATCTCATACTCTCATCACTACCCAGAAACAAACAAGATTAACAACAAACAGCTAAAGCAATTCTTCCATGTATGACATCATAATCTGAGTTTCACAATGAGACCAGAGCAATTTAATTCTGATGGTGCCCAAGCAGTGTTAATACCAAGTTTCTAGTTGAACTCTCGTGTATGACATAATGACTAAAGGGGGAGAAATTGTTAAATTAATTAAACGAATGAGGGCATTAGACTAAGGTGACTCTAATGCTGTGGTGCCTATGTAAACAAACCAAAATCTAAGCCAACTAGGGTTTAAGCTACACCCAGTCAATAATTTCCTTACTTTGCTGCTGCCTCTTCTAAGTTTTTCCCCAGCTCCTATCAACTGAATACTCCTAACCACTTCTGGTTTGGTGCCACCCAATTCAAACTGATTTTTTGCTCAAATAAATCCCTAAAACGTTAATGCCTCAGTTTATCTTTTAATACCACTATTAGCCTTGAATCATATGGTATATTCTATTGCATCTATTAATATCTATTAGACTATTTCTTGTCAACAGTTGCTGGGTGGGGGGGGGGGGGAGTAAGAGGAATAAGAACCTCTAACCACAAATCCCTCTTAACTTCCCATTCTCCATCTGCAACCCAACAGCACCTGAAGCTACCAGGTGGCCAGTTCTGCCAGGTTTAAGGAACTAAATACTGCAAGCCTTCTGGACAGAAAATACGTCATAAAATTTCTTAACCCTCACAGTATAAAAGATTTTCTGTGTCTGGTTTACCAGTATCTATTAAGAAAGTTATAATCACTGGCTCTTCCACTAACTAGCCCAAATAATACATCCAGAAACTCATTAGCACATTCAATCTCCTTTTGACACACACCGAGATAATAAACTCTCAATGCACAAAAGGGCATGAGGATACAGAAGAGAAATTCTTCACAAAAAAATCTTATTTCACTAGTTCCCCCAGTACCCCTACACTTCAGTAGAGAGAAGTAGGGAGAGTGGATTAACCAGGTCAAACTGCTGCAGGGGCCTTCTTTAAGGACAGCTGAAGGGCAACACCAGCACAAAATTATGCAACCTCAAGGAGAAAGACAAGGGTAAAAAAGGCACTCTGACTGAAAAACAGATGAGGGACTTCAGAACCCCAACTATTCTGCCTCTCCCCAACCTCTGTGTTTGGCTCTACTACAGACTAGAAAGCAGGATGACAGTAAACGGAAGTCCAGGCCATCAGTTCTTATCCTTGAGCCTGTTCCAGGTTAATTCACAACTAGTTAATTCACAAACTCTTTCCAATTTAAGTGCTGTAAATAAGCAACTGATGAACTGAATAATTTCTTCTCCAGCACCATAGAAGCTTCTAATACGTGACACATTATAATAATCATCTTAGATTGTTCAGCCCACAATTTCCCTTCACACAGAATTCGCCTCTTCCTTTCCCTCAACCCACTACTATGATCAAATGCAGGGAGAAGCAAAGACAAGTGATTTACAGAAAGAGATGATGAAGCTGACCCACAAAAGAAATGAGAGGCGGGGAAGAGAGAGAGAGAAGGAGAAAAGCTTCTTTGGTTTCCAGCCACTTTGCAGTTTCTAGTTTTACTTCAACCTAAGCGCTGACCATCCCTTCTGCTCTATACCAGTGAATAAATTCTTTTTATTGAGCTTTGACCAACATTTATAAAAGTTTAAGACTTAGAAAAGTTTTCATCACCAAAAAGTTAGAAGTTGTATGTACCTGTTATACACAAAAAGGCAATACTGCAGGTAAAAATAAATTTAACTTCAACGTCAGCCTTTTCTTCCCATCCTAAACCTAATGCATCCTAAACCATCCTAAAGCACACAAGTGAGGCTCAAGGCCTGGGTGCCTCAAAATATCCACAGGTGGAAAGTGCTACACCTGGGGCTGTAAGTATAAGTACACCTAATACTTTAACATTATTAACACCTTTTACCTACTATCTTCATTCTCTGTATAAACTAGTACAGGGCATAAATTCATTAATGTACTTTTCTCTTTACTGGGAATTAATTCTTTTTGAAACAGCAGGAGAGAAAATGGCAGGCATTGTGCAAACTATAACAATCTCTCTTTAGATCAGAATCACCAATACATTCTTTTGCTGATGTCCACCGTTAACAGCCAAGTAACCAGCCAACAGCATTTCCCGGCCTGATCCCTCGCCAAAATAATAATAAATATACATAACTGGATCTTTTACCGGATTTCTTTCCCTTCTTATTTCAAGTAACCCTAACATCATACGACTATGTTAAGCAAAAGGTTGGCAGTTAACTTAATTTCAAGTTCACATCCATCTGTACTTTGTTTTTAAAATTGGAGTTTCCGTCCTTAAGTATTCAAGTTAACGTCGCCAGCAATTCAGCGAGCCATAAAAAATGTATCCGCCTCGTTTATTGCAGTTTTTTATGTTATCAGCCCGGGGAAAAATATCCGTTCCATTCTACCCCCAGCACACCCCATTTGAGCCTCTACTATACACAAGCATCAACAATAAAGTTGTGATATTGTTCTAAGACTAGGAGGAAATATGTTTTTCCTCAAGAGCAAGCCAAGTGTACAAACAAACCTCATGACAACACGGACTTTGCGGATTTCTTACCATGGCATTAAGGAAACATCAAGGTTAAGGCCGAATGTTGAAGGCAGGGCTCCCCCAAAACCACGTTTCTCTCCAAGATTTTGAGAAAGCACTGGTGGAAGGGCCCCTTCTTGTGACACATCTGACTAAACCGGAGCATCAGCCATAAAGGGGGAAAGAAAAGAATTCCTAAACCCAACTTCACGTTTCAGAAAACAAGTCTCCCACCTGTGAGTAGCATGTGGACTTCTGAATCGCCATCAACACTGACACCCCGCGCGAAAATGGAAAAGCAAATTCTGCTTTCCACCTCGGCCCTTAAAATAACGGAGAAGTCGTGTCCTCCCCCTCCTGAGGACGGCCCTGGCCCCCGCGTCAGGTGTGCGGAGCCTGGCAGGACTTCCCAGCCGCTCACCCCCGGCCCCAGGCCCTCCACAGCCTCTCTCCCCTCCGAAGACCCAGGCGCCTGGTCGGAGACCGGCCGGACTCGGGGCTCCGCAAACGGTCCCCGCGTACCAAGAAGGTGGCGCCCGGCGACGTTGCGGTTTCCCCACCTCCCCTTCCCCTCCCCTCCCCCGCGGCCTCCACTCTCCATTCCCGCGCCCCAGCTTACCCTCAACTCCTCGAAATCCGCCATTTTATACCGCCCGCGGGCGCCGCTTTCGCCACAGCACCCCCTCCCGCTGCCGCCAACGACGCCGCCGCCACCAGGGCCACCGCCGCCGCCGCCAGCACCATCCTGCACTGGGCGCCGCTGAAGACGCCGCGGCCGCCACCGCCGTCGCCACCAGGCCCGTCACGTGACCCGCATGGAAGCCCCGCCCCCAGCGCAAGGCCCCGCCCACCTGGTGCCCCCCGCCCACCCGGCCCGCCACTTTCCCTCCGCGTCTTCCGGCTTCGCTCTCCTGTCTCCCTTAGCCTGCCCGTCACCCAGACGCTTTCCAGCCCCAGGATCTGTCGCCCCACTCTCCTCGGCTCTGCGCGGTGCCTTCCCGCCTCACCCTTCCACACGGCCGGGCCTGACCCCTACCGCCCACCCTACTACACGGTTACCTGTGGGCCAGAAGGCGGGCTTGGCCCTAGGGAGCGGCAGACTGGAAGAACTGGCCGGAACTCCTCAGCGAAACATTTCGGGGGTATTCTTAGGGTACCTCTCCCCTTGGTGGCTGTGACGGAGGAAGCAGCCGCAAATAAAACCATCCCCCCAGAGTAGTTGTGTCGGAACAATCTAAATATAGGTGTTGGGTTAGCTGCTCTTACCATCTAATGACGCAGGATTGGTGGGACCTCTGGATTGCTAATATCCTTGTCGACCTAAGAAATGTCCAGACCTGTAAGAATTCTTAAGAGTTTATTTCAGCCTCATGGCAACCGTGGAAATAAAAAAATCTCAATGGACTGAGAAAATGCTCCGGAGGATGCCCGTTTCTTGTTTTTATACTTTAGAATCAAAGGATAAGACGGAAGGGGAAGGGCGGAAGGGTGTAGCATGAAATCCATTGGTGAGTGATTAGGAAGTCAGGAGAAAGCAAAACAGGGGAATCTCTGGGATTGGATAAAAAGTAAAATGAATACACACTTCTTTTACATAGGAGGGTACAAGAGCAGTTAACAACACATAACAATAACAATGAGGGTTTCTGAGTCTCCTGCTAAGATGGGAGATTGTGTCCTCAAGGGGTCTGGAGAAAGGAAATTACTCTGACGTTCTAAATATATGTTACTGTAGATGCAAAAAGACTAAATAGGGTCAGTTAAGGTAAAAATTGACCTTTATCAAAGAAAGATACCGGCCTAGGACAGGACTATCTGCCATAACTCCCTTTCAGTTAAGTTTTAATTTCAGACTATTTTATGTGGCTGCTTTAAGTCTCTGAGATTGTAAGGCTCACAAGCCAGGCCCCCTCCCCCAGCTTGTCAGGGTTAGTATGTGACCCCTTTTCCACCTGCATCCTCCATACTAACCTGGCTGATTCTGACTTTGAATGGCGACTGAGTGTCATGGACAGTGGAGTTGAGAAGGCTTAGGGGTGACGGATGCTGGGGGAGAAGTGAAATAAAAGCCCTCAGAAGGGTGCTGATTAAAAGTCAAGGGATCAAGGAAATCTAATAACCAGGAAAGCGTGAAGTGACAAAGGCAGAGAAGATGGAAGGAAGCTTGAGAGCATCCCTGACTTACTGGATAAAGGCTGAGAGAAGATGCTGACTCCAGCTGGTCAGAAAATTCGCTGGAACAAGTACAAGGTTCAGATATCCTTGAAGAGGTGGACGGAATTCTCCCATGAAAGACTTTAAAACACTAAACATATTTCACGAGTCCCTGATTAATATGGTTCCTACCTGCTGCGTCTTCCCACTCCTTCTCACTCCACCGACAATACACTGCTTTCAGTTCCTCCAGTGCCCCCCACCACCACCACCACGACCAGGTTTTCAGACCTCTGAATGTTGATTTCTGGGCCGAGAATAACTTCCCACTCTTTCTCTTCCCCTCGCAAACACCTGCTCATCTTTCAGGTCTCAGTTTAAGTATCACTTCTTCAGAAAGACCTCCGTAAACCCAGATGCCCTGCTTCAATTCAAATCCCTCTCTCTGCTCGAGGGACTGAAGCCCAAAAAGCCCCCACTCATTCATTGGTTCGTGCTGCCTGTCACTACCACAAGCAGTAAGCAGAGAAGGATTGAATCCTTATTGGCGCTTTATTCAGATGGCCCGCCATCTGAGAGGATGGCGGCTTATGTATTCTAACAGAGCATCTTAAATTCCATTTGAAATTGACCCTTTTATAAGGAGAAGAAAAGTGTAGGCAAGGGGTTTGGAATTCATGGGGAAAGTTAATCAAATAAAAACCGCAGCACTCTGTCATCTGTGTCCTGGGCAGGTGGTCTTCATCTGGAGTACCATGGCTCAGATACCTTCTTGATTACTTGAGGCACAAAGGTAGAACTGTTTATGGTCTCCTGGAGTCGAGGTGTATCATACCTTCAGTTCCTGGAACAACAGCTTTTTACGTGCATTGATTAGATTACTAACCTTATTAGTTACTATCTAAGCTAAAATTTTCCAGCTCTTAAATCCCCCATCATAACCTGAACTTTTCCTTTATAATATTTCTCCATGGTAATTATATAGGTATCTGTGTGATTATTAGATAGATAATTAATGTTTTTTAAGTTTTTATCTTTTAAAAAAAGATTTATTTAGTTATTTTTAGGGAGATGGGAAAGAAGGGGGAAGGAAGGCAAAGAAACATCGGTCAAATGCCTCTCGCATGCCCCCAACCAGGGACCTGGCCTACAAACCAGGCATGTGCCCCAACTGGGAACTGAACCAGTGACCTTTAGGTTTGCAGGCCAGTACTCAATCCACTGAGCCACACCAGCCAGGGATTAAGTTTTTATCTTAAAAAAGTGTTTAACCCACTAGACTGTAATGATTGATAAATGCTGACAAATGGTTGGTCTCATATTTGTTTGATGAATAAAGCAATGAATGAACAGTATCTAGAGTAGACTCTAATTCTGGCTTTACACCATTAACTTGGTGATCTACCTTGGCTTATACTTGATCCGAGCTTATTCTCCTTAGGCCTTGGTTTACACCTCAGTACAATTTAACATTGTTCAACAGACATTAAGTGAAGGCCACTCTGGGCTAGGAGCTTTGGGGAAATAGATGAATAGAATACAATAAGCCTTTCATCCAAGGATCTTGCAAGGAACCAGCACTAACTAATACAAAATGAAGAGAAGCAAAGCTGCACAGACATGTTTTTAGGGTTCATTGTACAGTTGGATAAGTTTGACTGCAAAGAGTTCTAGGCTGCCCCAGATTGGCCGGTGCCAGTAATAACTAATGTCCTCCTTGCCGTGGCGATTAGATAGGAACTCTTTCTTAAATCCAACAACTACAGGGCACTGCCAGGCTTTGCCAATTAGATCAAATGTAGGCCCTTGCCCCAAGTAGGCCAATAAATGTGTGGGGCATTTATTCACTGATTAGAGTTGAGGAGACTTTCTAGAATGTGGAATGATGTAGCTGTTATGCAATAAAGGGGCCAGCCTGAGGACCAACCCATCTCATGGGCAGTAATCGATAACAACAACAACAACAAAAAAATCAAAATTAACTTCAACACCCATTTTATTTTTGTTTTCTTGAACCAATTCCTTTCCTTTACTCTTAGATAGTTTGAAATGGGTTTTCTATGACTTGCTACCAAAATAATTCTGGATGCTATCTTTTCTCCCCAGGCCAAATTATTAATTTGGCATCTTCTCTAAACTATACTCCTTAATATTGATTCACTCTTTCTTTAAAGGAATGTGTGATGGTAAAGGATAGAAAGAATGCCTCTTTTTTTACTGTCTTGAACAGTTCAGCCCTGTTCTAAGTTTGTAGCATATCCTGCTCATCAGAAAGAAATCTGCACTTATAAGGATCTACTCTCCCGATAATGTGGCATAACAGTTATCTCCCCACCAGTACGGGCCGCACACCAAAGTATCATTCCAGCCACACACAGAGAACTGTTTCCCCAGGGGAATTCCATTAAGTGCTATTTTCTCTTCTATATCATTTTCAATGATAAAATGTATTTTATGGATTGAGGTTATAGCCAATTATCTGGTTGGGTCACCACCTTAATCTGCTCCAATAAAAAAAAGTACAATAATTAAAGCATCCTCTGATTACAATGGAGTTAAAAGTCTCAGGAGTGGCTTTCTTACTTGTTAGCTGTATAACTTTAGCAAAGTTGCAACCTAATTTTTCTAATCTATAAAGCAAGACTGATTATTCCTTATCTCAGGTTGTTGGAGGGGTAAATGAGATAAGGTCTATGAGTATACTTTATAAGCTTATAAAGTGATAGATAATATTTTTTATTCTATCTAAATAGCTGATGAACACACCATAAAAGGTATTAGGAAGCACTCATATAACCCTAGGAATATGTCCTAATATCTTCAGAAGAGTATTCAACCTAGTTGACCATACATGGAATATTGAGTCTAGTTCCAAGCACCTGTCTCATTAATCCTTTCCCTTCCTACCTCTGAACCCATCAATCTTCCCTGAACTCATCATCTCTCTTTTCCTTTCCACTGATTTTTCTCTTTGCCTGTAACCAAATTCAATCCTCCTAGATAATTTCAAGTCATCTTTCCTCTTTTGCCAAACATACATTTATTTTAATCATATTTCTTCACTCCTTTACACTTTGCTGAGTGTTTGGCTTAACCTTTAATGAAACTAATATCAAGGAAACTGATAAATTTAACTTTTAAGTTTATGTCCCCAAATTTTTATTCTGACATTTTCAATGTTTTAAAGAAAAGTTCAAAGTGGCCTCAGGCAGTGTGGCTCAGTGCTTGGGCCCCCTCCCACAAAGGGAAGGGTAGTCAGTTCAAGTCCTGGTCAGGGCACATGCCTGGGTTGTGGGTTCAGTCCGTGGTTGTGGCATGTACAAGAGGCAACCAACTGATGTTTCTCTCCCTTCTTTCTCCCTCCCTCCCCCTCTCTCTAAAAATAAAAAATAAAATCATTTAAAATAAAAAAAGAAAAGTTGAACACACAATGAACATCTGTATACATTCCAATTAGATTCAATAATTTTAATATTTAAATAAAATTTTATTATGGTATAATTTACATATAGTGAAATCCTCATATCTTAAGTAAACTCTTCAATTAGTTTTGAAAAATGCTTGTCAAAATACAGAACACTTCCAATACTCCAGAAAGTTCACTCCTGCTCCTTCTGAGTCAAACCTCCCACCAGAACAACCAATG